TGAAGGGGGGAGGAGGCAGGGGTGGGTGTGGTTGACGTGGAGGGGCCAGGGCGCCGGGTGCTGCTGCCCGTATGTGGGCGGTTTGGTGAGGGGAAGGACAGCAGTGCCCTGAAAGCGGCGTTTGGGAAAGGAAGGGCCTGGAGCTGCCTGTGTGGGGGTGACGGTTTCACACTCTCTTGTGCACTTTCCTAATCCCCTCTCTGACAGTCGAAATGGTGATACCGCACGTGGACATGGACACTGCTCATATAGCTAACGCCCTGCCAGAGCCAGCGCCCAGCGCCCAGGCGGAGCCGGCGCCGCGTGTGTACTTCCCAGAGACGTGGCTGTGGGACCTGGTCCCTGTGGGGTGAGTGAGGGGCACTGCAGACCTTTCTATGGCGTTACCTCCACGGCTGCCCCTCTGAAGCAGTGGTCCCCAAACTTCCCAGCCTGGCCCCCCCCTTACCACTGTCCACCCCCTCCTCCTCCCCCAGCCACTCTTGGGGGGGGGGGGGGAGCAATTAGGGGGACCTGGGGCCATGAGGAGCATCAGGGATGGAAACACAGCCAGGCCATGGGGGGTGAGGGAGCTGGCAGCCGGGCCCATAGCCGGGAGCATCTCTTCTCCCAGCCCTGCCCCTGCACCCAGCCTCAGCCCTGGGCCAGGAACAGAGCCGAGCCGAGCAGTCCGAAGGCAGGGCCAGGAGCAGAGCCACAGCTGAGCTGCATTGGGAGGGGGCTGGTGGTGCTCCCTCCTCGTTGCAAATGGGGTGGTCTATGCAGACTATGACGCATCTACACGCGGCAAGTTAAATCAGGCGACCAGCATTTTAAAATCGCAACCAGCCACGAATATGCTAATCAAGCGCGGGATATTTAAATCCCACGCTTCATTAGCTACTTTGGTATGCTTCATTTGCCTCCCTGGTCCGAACTAGGGGGCAAGTGTAGACATACCCAGGAAGTAGTGGACAGAGCAGGGTATTTGGATTGAGCTCAGAAGCAACAAAGGAAGTCTTTAAAGGAGGGATACCTTTGCGCCAGTCAGCAAGCACAGCCCATGCTGGCTCACGGCCGCTTTAAATCCTGGATGCTCCACGGGGCCACATGGAGGGCAGAACTGAGTCCTGTGTCTTGATTTGGCAGAATTCAGTTTTCATTTTTGTATAATTATAATTTTGACAGATCATATTGATGTTTATTTAAAAAAAATCAGTTTTAATCCATTTACATTTTCACAATTGAACAATATTATGGGTTTTACACCATGTTTTATTTTATTTTGTTTTAATTCTATTGATTTACATTTTCATGTTTGCAGAAAATGATGGAAGGTCAGATAACAGAGCAGGCCAGACAATAATTATTTAATAGACATTGGTAATGAGTTTCACTTGGAGGCCAGCAGGCCTAGTGGATAGGCCATGGCTCAGCAGTTTTCCTACCCCAAAAGTCCTGGGATGGGCCTATCTGATGGTGCCAAGCAGTTAAGATGACTATGTGGTGGGAAATGTTGAGGGACTTTGCCCCCCCTTCATCAGGTGCAAGGGAGAGAGGCATGGGGTGCCTCACTTGTCTCTTCCTAGAGCACCTGACCAGCCCTCCATCATTTCCATCTGAGCCATGTCTTGCCTCCCTGCTCTCTCTCTGCATGGCTGCACCCCAGTCCTGTGCAAGTGGGGATTCCCAATCAGTCCCAGCAGCTCACTTGTCCAGTAAGTGATCCCCAGCCCCCCTCCCAGTGGTTTCCCCTCCACTGCCTGCTCTGCTGCTGAGGACGTAGGGTGGGGACGTGATCACTGTTCACCTGGAACCCACCGTCAACCTTGCCGCCATGGCTGCTCTGCCAGAAAGGGGAGGTTGCCAGCAGTTTCTGTCAGACTCATGGGAGCACTCAAGGTGCTCGACCACATCGAGGTCGCAGTTCTCTGCGGGGGGCACACGAGGATGGAGGGCGCCTGTATGTGAGTTCTCCTAATGCAGAGACACCACGGCACACAAAGGACGCTCCCTGGCAGTCTGTAATGCCGGGCAGCACACAGCTGCCGTCCAGGCACCGGGCTGGGATGACAGAGAAAATCTGAGTTGCATGTTTGTCTAAAATCACTTTATGTCTCTCCGTGCCCAGCGAGGGGGGCTCGACGGACGTCCCGCTCTCGGTGCCCGACACCCTCACGCAGTGGAAAGCCGGGATGTTCTGCACGGCGGAGGGGGGCTTTGGGCTCTCCCCCACGGCCACCCTCACAGTCGTCAAGCCCTTCTTTGTGGAGCTGGCCTTGCCGTACTCCGTGGTCCGGGGAGAGGCCTTCACCCTAAAGGCCACCGTCTCCAACTCCCTGCAGCAGTGCATCAAGGTGAGCGCCGCCCGGGGTGCCGTGCCGAGCTGCTGGGGCTGGTGAGCTACCGGCTGGGGCTGGGCAGTGGCTCAGGCCAGCGAGTGGCACCAGCAGCTCCTATCTGTGACCCAGACACCCCGCAGTGACCCCTGGGCTCAGCACAATGCGGCGAGCGGGGCTTGAGCCTCAGGGGGTCCCCTCTCGGCCTGGAGCTGGCGCGTGTTATAAATATCCACAAACCTACCGTAGAGCCCCCCCCCAGGAGACAGATTCATGGGGGCGCTCCTAGAGCCGGAGGCAGCAGAATCCTCCCTCCCACTGCAACGATTCCAAACGCCCCGCGACCTGACCGAGGAGTCACACGCCCCCTCCACACAGCTCGCACGTGTCTCCAAGGCCTGGGACACACGGAGGCCACAACTTTTTTTTTTTTTTTTTTTGGAGTGGAGCCCCCATAAAAATGTCGCCCGTCCCTTCCCTAAAGCCTGCTTTGAAAGCAACCCCCAGTGCGCGGTGCTCTCTTCTATTAGCACATGGGGCCTAATGCTCATAATATGGCTGCACCCCCCCCCCCCCCCAATCAAGGCTAATGGAGGCAGATGGGGGAGGGGCATTAGAGGCTCTGTGCTGGGAGGGGGAGGGAGGGGAGGGAAAGGGTCTCTCAGGGCTTGGTGCCATGGGGGAGGGGAACAGGGGAAGAGCTGCAGGGTGGGGGGGAAGACAGCCGGGCAGAGAAACCCCTTCCAGCCTACGCGCCACTTCCCACAGGCGCCACCTCCCTCCGCCCTGCCCTCTCTTCCCCCCTTTCTCTCTCTCGCCATTTTCTCTTTAGTCTGCTTTTCTCTCCCTTCTTCTCCATCCTCCCCCTTGCTGTCCCCTCCCCTCTCGGACCGGGGCCCTCTGCAGCGGCTGGGCATGGGCGTGGGGCTCTCTAACGGGCATCTCCGCCTGGCTCCGCAGGGGAGGTGAACTTCACCGTCAGCACGGAGGCCCTGCGCACCGAGGAGCTGTGCGGCACGGAGCTGGCCGTGGTGCCGGCCCAGGAGCTAGTGGACACCGTGATCAAGCCCCTGCGGGTCCTGGTCAGTGTCTGCTGGGGCTGGGGCCGGGCCCAGCGGAGGGAGGTGGGTGCCTGGGGCTCACCCCCCAACCCCGGGTGGCTGTAGGCAGGGGTGAAAGTAACTTACAATTCTTACCGGTCCTGTTGTACGGGGGAGGGGGTAAGGCCCCTCCAGGAGCTTGGCCTCTGCTCCCCCCGCCCGTCCCTTTCATGGCGCACACACCTGCTGCTTCCAGCCGGCATGGCCCCGGGGTGAGCAGGACAGGCTGGGAGCACGGCCCCCGCTCTGAGCCCTCTCTCACTGGTGCGGCGCCGCTCGTCCCGCTGGCTGCAGGCTGAGTCTGCACCGGTGATCGTCCTTTGTGCTGGCATCGAAAATAGCGTCCCAGCACGTTCCTGACCCAGGCATGCACTGCCCCGTCCCACGGCCCCTCGCTGCAAGCTTGGGGCGGTCGGGGGAAGTCCTGGGGCCGACAGAGACGGGGGTTAGTCCCAGGGGGCGGCTCAGAAAAGCTCAAGAGGGCGGAGGGAACTGGCAGGGGGAAAGCTCCGAGATCTGAGATCTGCCCGGCTGGGAACAGTCTCCACGGGCTGTAGTATAGGGGAGGAGCCTGCCCTGGCTGGGGGTGTCTGACTGTCTCTCTGATGCCCCTTCCCAACAGCCGGGGGGGATCCTGGAGGAGAAGTCGCACAGCTCCCTGCTCTGCCAGGAAGGTAGGAGCCCAGCGCCTGTCTGGGATCAGTGGGTTGGGGAGACTGTTACCAGGTTTGCCTGTTACTCTGGGGCACACTCTTATGGGGGAGGGAAGATTATGGGGGGTGCATGGGCTACTTGGGCTCTCATATGGAGCTGCACTTCTCCCCGCGGCCAGTTCCCTCCCAACGGGGCCCTTCTGCAGGAACTAAGTTCCCCAGGATGGGGTTCTCCCACCCTCGAAACACACAGCCACACCCAGAGCACGTCTGAGAGGCCCGTTAATCCACACTCATGAGCCCACCCCTTAGATGTGCCTGGACTTAGTGGGCTGGTTTAACAGCACTTTGAGCTGCCACCCTCATGTCCCTCCCCAGGTCCAGCATCCCCCTATCCCCACTTTCACGCCACAACCGCCCTGCTGGGAACCTCCTTGGTGAGCAAACCCCACCGGAGTTTGAGGCGCTCCAGGGAACTTCAGCTTTGGTACAAGAACCTCTTCTGAAGAGCGAACGGGGAAGCCCAACAACACCCCGAGGGAGCTTAGCAATGAGAGTTATTTATTTCTAGGCAGTAACCACACAAGGGGAGCCAAACAAACGAGCAGTTACACGATTTCATCTCACGAAATGGGATTACAAACCCTAGGGCTAGCGAACCGGAACTGATCGCCTAAGGCAGGGCCAGCAGGTAGGGTTGCCACATGCTCCCCCCCAAAATACCAGAAACGCAGTATTTTGGTCAAGGAGTGCGGAATAATAATTACTGCCTCTCCCAGCCCCACTCCCCCTGCCCCTTCTGACGGGCCCAGACCGGCGATCACAGCCCCACCTCCCAGCTGGGACTCCCAGGTTGGGAGGCTCCGCCGCGATCTCTGCTCTGGGCCCCTCAGAAGGGGTGGGGAGAGTGGCTGGGAGAGGCAGAACTTATTATCCTGCGCTCTTTTTTTTTTTTAGCTCCTAGCACGGATCATGGTCCCACCTTCTAGCCACTCCTCCCACCCACGCCAGGCTTCCGTCTGGTGCGCAGCCGGAAAAATCAGAGAATATCGGACATTGCACATGTCTGGTATTCTCTGATTTTTTTTTACCGGACAAAGAGCGCAAATACCGGAGTGTCCGGTAGAATACCAGACACCTGGCAACCCTATCAGCAGGCTATACCTAAAGAGGGAGAGAAAAAGAGAGATCTCTCCGTCTGTGAAGATTGAACTGATCGGGGTTCCCAGAGGTTGATGGTGGTAGCTGGGGGTTCAGCGTGTTGGAGACAAGTGGAGCAGAGCCCCCAGAACGGTCAGTCAGGAGCAGATGACGTCCAGTGGAACTGATGCGGACTTTAGAATAGACCCAGGCATCAGAACACTGGACTTGAGCAATGGCAGAAATGTTTGTAGGGACACAACTGAAGAGCTGTCTACACTGGCATGAATTTCCGGAAATGCTTAAAACGGAATACTATTCCGTTTTCAGTTTTTCCAGAAAAGGAGCGTCTACATTGGCAGGCTGCTTTTCCGGAAAAGCCCTTTTTCCGGAAAAGTGTCTGTGGCCAGTGTAGACGTGTTTTTCCAGAAAAGAGCCCCGATCGCCATTTTCGCGATCGGGGCTTTTTTCCGGAAAAGACTACTGGGCTGTCTACACTGGCCCTTTTCCGGAACAGTGTTCCGAAATAAGGACTTATGCCTGAGCGGGAGCAGAATAGTTTTTCCAGAATAGCGGCTGATTTTGTACAGTACAGCATCGTTGCTTTTCCGGAAATTCAAGGGCCAGTGTAGACAGCTCGCAGCTTATTCCGGAAAAGCGGCTGATTTTCCGGAATAAGTGGCCCAGTGTAGACACAGCCGATGTGTTTATGGGTGAACAGATGGCTCAGGGGAGTATTCCAAAGTTTTGTCTAGGCTGGACAATAGAGACTGATCCTTCCTGGCTGGGGCGCTGTTCCGTGAGAGAGCTCGTGACGGGCCTAGGCAGTGTCGGTATTTTGGATAGCAATAGGATCTGTTACCATAGTTGGTCTGATAATGACTGATTTGGGTGTGAGCAGGCCTGGGTTCATTAGCATCCAGAGCACCCTACCAGGCTGCTCTTTTCTGCTGTTGGTGTCGCACTGTTCGGGGGCCTTGCATTGGAAGTGCCGTTCTCCATTCTGTTTGCTAACGGAGGGTCTGTCTGTTCCATCTTCCATGCTGATGAGCCTGGGGCGTTCCCTTAATCTCCCTGCCTCTGCCTTTTCATTGCCCTGTCTTTGGTTCAAGCAGATGCCCCAGGGTGGGGGGTGTTCTCCATGAGTATCATGCCCGCTCCCCAAGAGAGCTAGTAGGTAACAAGACACCTGAGCCGTTTCTTGGCTATGGCACGTTAGCAGCCCAGTTAGGGGCACGGGACCCACCAGGCCGAACCAGACCAGGTGTAAGTCGGGGCCCAGCTGCCCGGGGAAGAAGCTCCCCCTAGTGGGCAGTTATGGAACCGGCTGCCATGGACCAATGGCCCAAGCTCCTCCTCCCGAGTCTCACTGGGCCCGTTGCACCAGCTCCTCCTCCCGTCAGCCTGGCCCACGTGTCCTAAGCTCCCTGCAGAGCTCAACACAAGGGCCCTGTGGGGCCGGGAGAGGGGCCGACCCCACAGGCAGGGCCCTGCCCTGAACAGGGGCGGGGCCCAGCTGCCCGGGGAAGAAGCTCCCCCTAGTGGGCAGTTATGGAACCGGCTGCCATGGACCAATGGCCCAAGCTCCTCCTCCCGAGTCTCACTGGGCCCGTTGCACCATTGGCTGGGGGCTGGGGCAGGCTCCCATCAGGCCTTTCCAGTTGTGTCTTTGCCTTTGTGTCTCGCAGCGTCCGAAGAAATCTCCTTGCAGCTGCCTGCGAACGTCCTGGCGGGGTCCGAGCGAGCCCACGTGACTGTCCTGGGTAAGGAATTCCCCTGCCCCACCCCTGCCAGGGCGCGGTGCCTGCCCAGCCAGCCCGGCTGTGCCCAGCGCTCCGGTCAGAGAGCCAGGGCATCACGGACGGGAAAGCCCCAGGAGGTGGAGTGGGGGCCTTGGGCTGGGGCAGGACCGGTCCTGCAGTCTGTGCTCCAGGGCCTCGCCCAGCGAGGGGCTGCAGACTCACACGGTGGTGCCAGGAAGCTGTGCCAGGGCATTGGCCTCTGGGCCATTCCTCACCAGCTACCCACGTAACCCCCCAGGCTGAACTGAACTGGGGGCTCGGAGCCCTGGGTGCCAGGGCTCCAGGGACATGGAGTTAGGGCCGGGCAGCTGTTGTTCAGCCTGGTCATTCTCTGCTCCCCGACCCCTTGGTGGCAGGAGACATAATGGGCGCGGCTCTGCAGAACATAGACCGCCTGCTGGCCATGCCCTACGGCTGTGGAGAGCAGAACATGGTCCGGTTCGCTCCCAACATCTACATCCAGCAGTACCTGGAGAAGAGCGGGCAGCTGAGCCCGGAGATCAGAGACAAGGCCCAGGGATTCCTGCAGAGCGGTGAGTGTCCTCCCCTCCCCCGCCCCCAGGACTCTGGGCCCGGGGTTCCAGTCCAGCCCCAGCTCTGGGCACTGGCTGGCCCTGGGGTCAGGGAATGGGATCCTGGGCCTTTCTCTCTGGACAGCAGTTCCCACCCAGGTGCATGGGGAGTGTTTGGCTCAGGGGCTTGGGAAAGGGAGAAAAGCCTTTTCCCCTCTAGGAACACCGCGGTGTCCAGCCCCAGGCCAGGGAACTGCGGGGTCAGTGTGGGCGGAGGGGTGGTGCTAGCAGGCCGCGTGGGGCCCAGGCTGGGGTGGATTCTAGCCCCTGCGGACGAGCAGATCCAGGACTCAGTGCGTCTCTCCCACCCCACAGGGTACCAGCGCCAGCTTCGCTATAAGCACAAGGACGGCTCGTACAGCGCCTTCGGGGAGAGCGACTCCACGGGCAACACCTGGTGAGGGGCTGCCCTGCACGGGCGAGTCAGGGCTCTGGGTGGGGACAGGACAGACATGGGCTGCAGCCTGCTCCCCACACAGCTCTGCCCCACGGCCCTCTCGCCAATCCCCTATTCCCATCCCGGGCTCCCCTGACTGCTCTGACCCCCAGGCCTGCCCCCCTCTTGCCCCACAGCTCTCCGGCAGAGGGTCCCTCTAACGGGTCTCTCCCCGCCCAGGCTGACGGCCTTCGTCCTCAAGTCCTTTGGCCAGGCCAGACCCTACATCTTCATCGACGAGAAACACCTAAAGGACGCTCTTGGGTGGCTGCAGCGTCACCAGCTGGAGAGCGGCTGCTTCCGCAGCGTGGGGAAGCTGCAGAACAACGCCCTGCAGGTTCAAGGGGATGGGCTGGTGGAGGGAGAAGGTGGGGAAGTCGCTGCCCCCAGCTGAATGGCCAGGACAGCCGGGTCAGAGGGTTTCTGGAGAAGGAGGGAGGAGCCCTGGTCTATCCACCCCTGGCTACGGTGCAGCCCGGCCTCCTGGCTGGCACTGGGCAGACTATGGCAGGGGTTGGGCAACCTAGTGAGTAGCAGCATGCGCAGCCA